GTTGAAATCTTTGGTGAGGGAATCGTACTTGTGGCGAACCCTTCGCATGTGCTGATGGACGTGTTCGTAATTTGGTGGGATTTGCCCGGTCCCGGTTGGGATTACCTTTAAACGTTCTTCCACCAATCAATATGGTCTTCGGAACTCCACCGCCTTCTAATTATCTTTCTATTTCAAAGCCTGAGTACAGTACCCTTTCAGGGACGCGCTGCAAGGCGCTAAGTGGATGCTCGTACTGCTTGCCGAAAGCAGAGATCTTAGAGAATGTATTACTGCATGAAGGATCACGAGATTGGAGAGCTGTGCAGTGCAGCTGATGTTCATCGGCTTCTTTGGGGTTCCTTCCATATTTTTGAGTGTTCTCAAACTGCTCGCTTTTTTTCTGCTTACCGTTAGCTGTACTTTTGTGCCATTCATTAGGTTCGGTGCCTTTAGATCCACATGTGCAGCCTTTGCAAACATGCTGTGTTCAAGTTATAATAATTGTGGAAGTGAGGGCTGAATCGGCCAAATATCCGCTCTGCTCGCTCGATGTTAGCAGATACGACCACGGTTTCACCAATGATGCAAGCTGCTAGATCACCAATTTTATCTGCTGCTTGCCGAGTTTCCCATGTGGCGAAAACGACTTCCTACTCCTCTCCGAAACCGAGTTTCCGGGTTGACTCAAACCCAAGGAAGCAGAAATTCCCTATTGCCCAGTTACTTTGCAAGAAAAGGCCGACCCGAGCGCGGAAGCGAGGTGGTGGATGTGAGGGTTCTCTGGGGAAGGGAGGAGGTAGGATAAGGGGTCGTTCTGGGTGAGATTTCAGCTTCTTTTTTTCACTTTTTAATGGCACTTTTTACATACTCAATAAACGACTCGCTACTCCGGGCGACACATAATTGCTACATTCCAATGCTCGTCGCTGAATTCCTGTTCAATTGATTGAACCAGGCCAAAAGTCGATGACACTTTACGACTTTTTGACATTCCTCTTACCCTAGCTGCTTCTTCTCTGTACCTTATATCATTGCATCACGGCTAAACACAGCTGTTACACTGGTGAAAAACAACCTTAAAGGCATA